GGAATAAAACCAACTCTTATTACTCTTCAGCCGAAGTAAGGGTATGGCTGAAGAAGTGGTTGGCTGGATTAACCAAACTCTGTGTACTCCTCAGCCGCAGTAATTATGTCGGCTAAGGAGTGGTTGGCTGGTAAGCATAGTTTAACAAGTAAAAATTGAAATAGAAGTTGGAGTATTAGAAGGCATTACGAAGTACAGGCATACATATCAGAACCGGAATAAGAGTCCAACAAAATTTTCATTCATTGAAAAGCAAGTACAAGAGGGACATAGCCCGGTTACAAAGAAAAGGTAACAAAAAAGAAGAAAAAATCAGGAAAAAAGATCTTCAATTTCGGCGTCAAAGGCAGCATCTGCGTCAACAAGAAGACCGGTTTCAGGCGGAAGGACGTTTTCGGTCGCGAGAATGGTTTCGGCCGGAACCACAATTTCACTCGGTTGTTCAATAGTTAGATCTTCCACTATCGGCTCCGGCCGAACCGCCTGATCCACGCTGACAACCGGAGTATCCTCGGAGGCAGAATCTTCATCAGAATCTGAGCCTTCAAGAAACTCCTGTTGTATAGCATTTGCATAATCCAGGAGGGAGTTCGGTATGAAGTAGGCTGAAGGGTTGAAAACCTCGGTCTGTGGATCATGATCGAGCTTCTCAATGGCTCCCCTCCAGCCGCACTTAAAAAACAGCTCCTTGGCAGCCTCACATTGCTTGACGTATACATTCTCTGCCTTCTTGAAACCCTTCTTCTGGGCCTCCTTGGCGTCCTCCTTCGCCTGGGTTATTTCGGCGTCTTTCTTCTTTTCAAGTTTTACCAGCTCACGCAGGTACTTGTCCTTCAGAGCAATGGCAGTCTTTTGCTTTTCGGCTTCGGCCGAACTAACTAGTCCAGTCAGTCTGCCGACCTCCCCGCGTAGCTCGGCCATTTCCTTTCTGGCATCCTCCAGCTCGGCCGTTTTTGCCTCAGCTTCCGCCATTGCTTGCCTTGTGGTTTTTCTAAGCTCTTGGACTTTCTTGTAAGTTATGTTGTTTTTCTGTAAGGCCTGGCAAAACGAAGATTTCCCTTAAGCCGAAGTAAATGTTGGAAAAATTAGCTAGAAAAAACGGACAGAACTACTTACCAAAATCATGGACTTCGATGAAGACCGGATGAACTTCAATTCGGTGTTTAGTTGCTTTAGGTGGTGCTCCATGTCTTTGGGGAGGCACACACTCTTGGCCAGGTTGAAGGCCAATTGATGATCTTTTTCAGCAACAACCGAATCAGAGTCTTTGATATCTCGGTCGTTGAAGGTTAGTTGCGGAGCCCATTTGGAAGATTCTGCTCGGTCAGTTTGCTCCGGTTGAAGGGTAGGTTGAGGACTTTGGGGGATGGATTCAACCTCATCGACAAGTTGCTGTTCGGTCGATGTAGATCGGGCGCGTTTTGAAGGGCGAGATGAAGAAGGCTGTTGAGAAGGGAGGGCCACAACGGCAGGCTGCGTTTGGATTGTTGGTGGTACTTCGGCCCTGGTTGTTGCGGTCAGAAGGGCCCTAACTCTGCTTTTCTTTGCCATCTCTTCTTCAGCGGTTAGTGGGACAAGTCGTATTTCGGGCAAGGTAAGGTCCGGTTCAGGTGCGTCTTCAAGAAGGAAGTCGGTCACTCGGGCTTTTCGGCGACCGCTATATCGGTAGGTCGGCTCGAATTGCAGCAACTTGGCCCAACTACGTTCAGGATACCGTAGTGCGGCTCGCAACATTGCAAGATTTGGATAACTGTACAAGGAATGAAGGTGAGCAGAATCTGCGAAAATAAAGACAACTGTTAGTTCGGTTGATGGACTAGCAAAATCGAAATAAAAAATTGCAAGGAACAAGACCGAAGTTAAATTACCGGGCTCCACTTTTTTCCAATTTATAGTCGGCCAGGAATTTGGGCTTGAAAATCCTCAAAGTTCCCAGAGACCCAGAAAAAGTCGTCGTCATTTACATCTTTGTCCGGTGTGTGTTTAATTATCTTCTCTCGGCGGTGGCGTATCCTAAGGTAATAGACCCACCCATCTTCTTTTGAGCCGAGGGAGTATTGATGGAATATTTCGGCCAGGCCAAGATTTAGTCCGGCTTGGCGGTTTAGTTCGGCTATTCCCATGATGATGCGATACGTATTGGTGGATAGTTGGGTAGGGCATAATCTGGTCTGCCTAAGAAATTCACAGATCAACGGTTGAACCGGAAACCGTAGCCCGGTTTCTATAATGGATAAAAGGGTGAAGGGGACGAAGCCTTCGTTGTCCCAGGGAATGACGTCTTTTTCGGCCAGAATCAGCTGGACGTCGTCAGGTATTTGGTAGTCTTTCCTGAATTCGGCTAGGCCACCCGGAGTATTTACTAGGTATCTATAGTTCCCCATCTACCGTATAATTTAAGAATAAGTTATTTCGGTGCAAATATTATGCTCAGTAGCTAGGTTGAGCGCACGCAGGAGTGCCTGGGCAACCTAAGTCTGCAAAGTAGAAAACACGGGTTAAGCACAGACCATTGGACCGTGCTACAAATTAAAAGCAAGGTATAAGAGCCCTACTTCGGCCTTGTGGACTGGTTCTACCTTGGTTCATCAAAAGGTTTGGTAGCTCGGTTTGAGCGGGTTGCGTATCAGACCGGGTCATCGTCTGGGGACAGCTTTCTTAGTTCGGTCTAAAAACTAAAAAAGCTGGCATAGCCCCAAGGCCTAAATCGGTTAAGCTATGTGTTTTGTTACTTCGGTTGAGCCTCTAGGGGCAGCTTTCGGAGTTTGATATAGAAACTGAGAAAGCTGGCTTAGCCCCAAAGGCTTAGTTCGGTTAAAGACTGAGGTTCCTAGTTTATTGCATTCAAACTTTGTTCGGTGATCTTATTTCGGCTAAGTTGAATCAGAAGTTTATTTTTCGAAACTGCTGTCATCTCTACAAGTTTTAGTTCGGTTAATTGTCTAAGGTGATCTACCGATATAGCACAAAAACAGTATCCTAGTTCGGTTGGGACAAGATTTTGGATCAGAGACTAATTTTCTACAACACAGTTCATACACGTATAAGTTCTATTGTTTTTTCATGAAAGTACAAAAGCAAAGCAACAATGGAAGAAAATGTTTTGCAAAAATACGGTAAACAAAATACATAGAACAGATACGACAGCAAAACAGAGCAAGAAGGATGGGCATGCTTACCAGATTGAAGAAGATCTAAATGGAAGCGGCAACAGTAAAGGAGGCACACACGAAGTATACTTCACAGTTGCAAGAAAAATGAAGAACTCGAAGAAAAGGAAGAAAGTGAATGGCAAAAGTGAAGGGACCTAGCCACGGGGATTGTTTTTGTTAGAAAGCCCAAAATTTGGGCGGGACTGTTCAAAATTCGCGAAGTACGAAAGACGGCGTGACAGCCGTCCTCAGCCTATCAGAATCTGCCACGTGTCATTGGAAAGGGAAGCGTTACAGTCACTGTGATTGAAGAGACGTTTTGACCGGACAAACAGAGCCCGGAGTGAAAGTAGCTCGGCTGGAGAGGCTAAACTGTTTTTTTTTTAGTCCGGTTGGAAAGGCTTGAAACATTAGCTCGGCTGGTCACCAGGTAATCCCAATCATGCTGCGCAGATGGAATTAAGGGGCAATTGAGAGGGTAATTTTTGGTGAAAAATTGGGCCGAGCTATGAGATGAACTTTGTGGCCCAAAGTACGAAGGACTGGGTGAAAAGGGCCGAGAAGTTACTCCGGTCCAAGAGAGATAAAGTTACTCCGGCCTAAGAAGAGATAAAGTTACTTCGGTTATAGGATTGTAAATGTACTTCGGTCCGGGAGCAACTTGAAGTTAGGCCGGCCTTGAAGTTATATCGGCCTTGGAGGTGTATCGATCTTGGAGTTATACCGGTCGATAGTCATTGGTTCGGTCCAAACACACCATGGGTTGAACAGGTGAGAACCGAGATAAGGAAGAATAAAGGGAAAGGCCGAACTAAGGATAGTTCGGCTTAGTCTATGGCTCAGCATAGCCAGGTTTATCTCGGTCGTATGGCAGTTCGGCCATGGTGAAAACCATCCCACTTGGTTTAAGCAGTGGGGGGTGTAAAAGGATATGCATTATCCTTTAGGAATATGAATCCTAGGAGGACTCTGCATGGAGGAATAAAAGTCCTACTAGGATTAGGCCACTCGAAACCTATAAAAGCTCACAAGCAACACCTTGGAGGAGGTAACATAACACAACATACAATTTTGCTTCCTGATTAAATTGAGTTTTGTCTATTTGTCAAGTTTTCTGACTTAGGCATCGGAGAGGTTTCCGGCACACACCCGCCGGCTAGCTCACGTTTGTGTTTTCAGGTGACAAAGCGACGTCATACGGAGGAGCGTGGACTTAGTCAACAGGATTATACGAGGAGAATTATTTCTTCCCCGTACAGATGTGTAAAAATTATTCGGTTCAACAATCCCACCAACTAAATAAATAATAATAAATCGCTTAATTTGTGGAATAAAAGGTTCCAAACAAATAAAAAATTAAGGGATTCTTGAAAAGCCCTATTGGGAAGATGGGTATACCAATAAGTCCTCTTGCCTTTTTGGTGCACTAAAAAGTTCTATTCGCTTTTAATTGTTATAACAAAATTCTATTTTTATTTTTAGCTGTGTTTTTATAAAAATTGTTACTAATTGTTATTTAACGATAATTTGAAAAATTCATCATATAAAAATATCACTAATTATCATTTTTTAATGAAAAATTTAGAAAAACATTACTAATTATCAGTTTTTAGAACTTTTCATTATACAAACACTTGTGAGACTTTATAATACACATGTCCTTATAACAGGATTTGTGAGTAATTACCCCATATCTCAGAAAGAGCTGGCCCACCCATTGATTCCCTCTAATTCTTCTCATTTGCTGTAAGCCTACTAACATAGCCCACTGGAAAAGGCCCACCGCAATGCAAATCAGTAAAGCATTACCAACACAATTTAGGCCAGGCTTTACTCTATCACCACCAGATGGCCCATTAAGCTTTGCCTGAATCATTCTGCATAGAGCCCTAAGAGGAGGTTTTAGCTCAAATTCATAAAACCCTCGGTGAAGATGACCTCTTGATCTCTCTCGAGACTTCACTCACATCACATGTATATACATCTTGTAATTGTTGAATCGACGCAGATCGAAGATGGCTTGGAGACAAATCATACCTTTCAACAGAAGAGCATTTTCAATTCCTTCCAATTTGGTTCCTGGGTTCGCTAATTTTTCTTCCAAATCCACACCTTACTTGGGTAAACATCTTCTTTTAGGGTTTATATACATATATATGTAAATGTATATGCCCTAGATATGTGTAATTTGGATTTAATGGGGGTTGTTTTGGTGGTTGTTGTTGCAGTGAAGGTTGGGATTCCGGAGTTTCTGAAAGGAGTTGGAAAAGGGGTAGAAGCTCACGTTGAGAAGCTTGAATCGGAGATTGGTGATCTCCCGAAGCTTCTCGTGACTCGCACTTTGAAGCTCAAGAAACTCGGCATCCCATGCAAACACGTAATCATTTTCATTTTTTTTTTTTGGATTAATCTTTTCTTCAATAGTTTATATTTATGGGTTTTAAGAATAAAAAGAAAACAAACTATGGTTTACACTCTGTTTCGGAACTTATAAAAATTGAAAAAAAGAAAAAGAAAAAGAAAGAAAAGGAAATGATTATATTATTAGGAGTGAAGGTATTATGGTTGATTTCTCTCCCCCTTGTTTGGATAACTAGGAGAGAAAAGAAGGGAAAAGATTATGATTTCTCACCTATTTTATTTGATTTAACTACATAAAAGAAAGGAAAAGAAATAGTTTCATGTTATATTATCATGTCTTGTAGGCGTCAACTTTTTTATTTATTTATTGCTTTTATGTCTAAAGGGTAGTTTTTGTATTATGAAAAATAGTAATTTTTGGTTTCATGCTCTCCCAATCTCTCCAATTTTGTAGAGATTTAAAATGGGGATTTTAAGAGAAATGAGTTTTTCTCCCTTTCTTCCCATTTTACCCCCATTCCTCTTTTC